AATAAAAAGAAATCTTATCCAAGATTCTATGCGTATACAAGGGATTGAACACACACAGTACCTATACACCTCACTTAACATGATAAAGAACAGTCAAAGATTTTTTTTTATATTTTGTCCTTGTAAACCTGAATGTGTAATTGTGATTACATGTTTCCACCTTGTATGCCAATAATATTTATTTATTTATTTATCCACATATAAAAATGTGTCTGCTTGCAGTGGAAAATAGTATTCAACTATTCACCCCAGTTAAATAAACAGAGATCGTTGGATTTCACTCAGTCGGCACTTTATTTTCTTATCTTTGCAAAGAGAGAACAGTTCATCATACGGCCCTTATGGCACGGTAATCTGCCCTGTTCTGATCTAGATAGTTTTTCTCCCTTACTTATAATGAGAAAAAAGCTGTGAAGGTTGTCAGAGTCAAAAAAAATGACACATACTTTGGTTAAACAATAACCAATGACTGACCTGAATTAACCTTTACCGGCACAATAACAATTCTTGAAAAATAATTTGGCTTGTTATGGGATAAGTTGGTATTCATTGTATACAAAACACTTCTCACTCAGACATTTTGTGGCCCTGCAGGTGAAACAGATGGACTGAAAATATTTTTCAATGGATAAATAACATAACTAAATATATGAAACAACAGAAATCTAAATTTTCTGAACAAATTCTATTTTTATAAGTGTATTGTGTAAAAAAAAAAATTTTTTTAACAGCAGATACAATTCTTTTTCTAAGGTGTTATAGAGATGCAAAGCAAAAATCGACACAATAAAACTCCACAGAAAGCATTCTATATGGAATTTGACATATCTCTGCATATTTAATAAATCATCTGTTGATGCCAAATTTAACAATCGGATTAGAGGAAATAGGGTTTTGACTGATGGGTGTCCTGTAGTCCTGTAAGCAAACTGTATGTGTTGAACGTGGAGACAGCTTCCAGATAGTCAATATTTTCTTTTAGTGAAAAACTAAAAATAATTCTCTACACAATGTTTAAAAATCAGGTTTTCAAACAGAACACCATCCTTCAAAAAATCGTATTCTATTCTTTTGTATTCATTCTATCTATCTCTATTTTCCCATTCTGCAGTATTTATTTGCACGTATAACTTTATGTTCTCTCTGCTTTTTGTTGTCATAGTAGCTTCACCTGGTCTGTTCCTGTTTGATTAAGACTCAATTTGGGAATGTAATATGAGCAGGGCTGCATTAATCATCACATTTGTTTTATAGATATTGGAGTTTGACCTCATTTTCACTGTAGCCTTTTTTGAGATTACATCCTTCATGAACAACACCTGTCACCCCCCTGCACCAGGAGCATATATATATATATATATATATATATATATATATATATATATATATATATATATATATATATATATATATATATATATATATATATATATATATATATATATATATATATATATATATATATATATATATATATATATATATATATATATATATATATATATATCCCCACAACCTGCACTTTGGGTCCCTGAGCATGACCCTTAACCCCACACTGCTCCCTGGATGCCGCTAAGTGGCAGCCCACTATGGGATAAATACAGAGTTGAATTTTTCCAATGTGAGATCAATAAAGTATATTTTTATTATTATTATTAGACGTCTCTTTTGTGATTCAACACTTGAGCTTGCAGAGCAGAGCTCTGAATGTATTTCAAGAGGAAAGCTCAAACACACTACCTCATGTATGACATCATGGAACAATAAAAAAATCAATTTGACATCATACCAAGAGGAGAATTTTGGTCATGCACAGAGTTGTGATTCAGCACAGAAAACAAGCATTACACCATTGTATAGATGATGACTGAATAAATCGTAAATTGACTGCATTTACTGTATAATGCTTTTATAGCAGTATTGCCTAATCAAAACATTTTTATACTAAAATTATTTTTCATCCTTTCACGCATATAATACATAACCTCACCAGAAGACAACTTTCTGTTAGGTGCCATATTGGTTCTCATTTATCCATTTCACTCTGACCGAAAAAGCTGTTTAAACCCTGGAAAACAATCAGCTTTTAGTGGCAGTGGGAATAGCTCAATGATGCGTGTTTACCAAGGTCAAAAGAACTGCGTTAAAATTGCCTCGACTCTGACCAGCATGCTTTGGGAACACCAGACCAACTAATTACGTGACACCATTGAACGCAACAAACGGACGTCAACACACCGCGCCAGTCGTGTCTGATCTAACAAGCTGAAACAGCTCTGTTTACATCCGAAAAACACGGTGCAGCTCTGATAAGAGAGATTCGAACAGATAATAGAGGTAAGAAATAATGCAAACTTATTATGCTCTGGCTTCCTTTAATGTTGCTCTCCATTGTTTACTTTCCTGATTTTTGTTGCACTGGCGACACTAATAACACTAACCCTTTGTGATGCGTCATTAGACAGGCAGCTGTGGCGAGGCAGAGGCCACGCAGCTTGCCATCTAGGAGTTAGACCATGCTTTTTTTGCCAATGGGAAGGAAGCCGAAGGACGATTGTTAGCGGGTCGACAGATGTTTGAAAAACATGTGTTAACCGAGTATTTTCAGTAGGAAAGAGGTTTAATGAGACTTTCATGTTAAATAACTAAACAAAACCTGTATGACTGTTGTATACTTAAACCAACAATTTTTGCAAAACTTTAGCTAGCCTGTGTCTAACAAAGAAATATACATACTTTTTTAGACTAAATTCTTAGACACCTTGTATGGTTTTTTTTTTATTTATTTATTTTTATTCCCCAATCTTTATGTTTTGCTATAATCTCACTCTTGCTGAGCAAGTTCAGATAATTTTTCCTGTTTTTCATTATCTCAAATGTCAACAGTTTTGCAAGAACATTTGGAAATACATTTCTGGATAACATTAAATAAAAAATTTTACATAAGTAATTACTTTTAAGGGAAAGAAAAACTTAAAATTCTGTTATTATTATCTAGTATTTTTTGTAGTCCTGCAATAATCCTTCTAATTATAATGCTCTTGATACAACAATTAACGTACTTTAAATAACAATTATTGATGAGGGTAGTTGTTTTTAAAATATTTTCACATTCTGAAAACCTTTTAAGTCCATTTATGTGGTGTGCTACTGCAAGATCAGTACTGGCATTCGAGTTTCAGCAGTGTCAAAGTAGGCAAATGCAGGTGATTTGTCTTGTCAAACATTCGAGCATCCTGATTTGGTATTTAAAGTGGAACTTGAGCTTCCAATAGGAAACCAGTTGATTAAGCTTTAGCAGATGACATGTCCCTATTGTTGAGTCGGAAAGAAGAGGTAGGTTCACATCCGTGTTTTTTTTTTTCCTAAGGTGGATCAGTGACTGAAGAGGAATCAAACTGCAAAAGTATAAGTCTGAGCCTTTAGGTATATCAGGCATACTATTGGGATAATTTTGCAACTACTGCAACAAAGTTAAATTAGTATGTTTCCAATTATCTTTTATCACCTTCATGTACCTAACAGTGAGATAGCTTTCCCATGTATAAAGTAGATAACATAGTTTCTACTGGACCCACACTTGGATATGCCGCTCCACTCCCTTCTTGTTAAAAGTCACAACAGTTTATAATTTTTTTTTGTTAATTTAAATGTTTGTTATTTCAAGGTTCGGTAGGGACATTACTTTCATATCCAGATACATAACACCTGAATTAAATTGTGTGTTGTTTTTTTTTTTGCAGAAATTTAAATGTGTTCATTTACTGTTGAATTCATTTACTCAACTTATTCCTTCCTGGTATTTACGGAACAAAATTACAATGAATAAATTTACTGTCCGACAGGTTTAACTGAACTTACCAAGCAGTAACTCTTAAGAAAGAAGTGTCTGTAATGTTTAATGGATAAAAGTTTGGTATTTGATCTGAACAAGTGAAAACTGAACGCATTTTTTTCATTCTTTTTACCAAGATGTATAAAAATCGATTAATTTCTATTTATTTTCAATGCAAGCTTTGTTAATGACACAGAAACCTGGTCTATAGTAGGAGTATGAATAAAACTATATAGATAAAAATAAAAACTTACTTCACAACTAATTTTAATTATTAGTTTTTTTTTAACACATTTAGGCAGGGATGCAAGAGCCTCATTTCAGGTGTAAATCTGACTGAGCTAATCTTGTAAGAGATACGGGTTTATAACATGCAGTTCTGTTGGTTTATGACCCTACAAATACAGTGCCTTACAATAGCTACTCTGGCTCTAACACAAAAATTAATAAACATAATGTGCAATACTGCTGAGGTTAAAGCAAAAAAGGCAGAGAGTGAGATTTTTTTTATTTGTTTTAAACCACAATGCACAATAATCGAACTATATATATCATATTTCATAAAAAAAATTTGACTCAAAAGTTATTTCTGTTATATTTCTGCCAGTGGCAGAGCATACACCTGCTTATGATTTCCTTATCAATCTATATGTGATACTAAACCCACACATTAAAGTTAAACAAAAAAACTGTCCTTCGAGTTACTCAGTTGGTAATAAGCCTACTTCGCTCTCTCTCCTGTAAAATACTATGTTAAAGAAACTGTCCATAAATCCTTTGTCCCTAATTATACTTTGTCTACCCTGTCTTTGACAGTTCTGTTCACAAAATGTTGTTATCTCTTAGTTTTTTATTCATCTTCCATTGAACAATAATCCAGTATGCTAAACATTTCAGAGAAACTTTCTAACACTGTCTCTGCCACTTCCGTACCTGCCACCATATCCCCATACCTGCCTCACCCAGAACCGTGTAGCCACTACATATCTCTATGTGGAAGGACTCTATTCAAAAATACGAAGTACAAAAAAACAAGGGAAAAAAAAAACTTTCAATCTAAGGTTTTGGTGTGTTTTAGAACAATTGATTCAGTTCAGTTAGTAAATTAAATAGGGAAAATACAGAGAAGGAAGAAAGTTACAGGTCTGTAATATTTTTGTCTTACCTTCAACAGCAGACAAAGAGGATGGAGACAGCTCCGCGGACAAGCGTAAGATATTGTGAAAATACTCTTTGGTCTTTGGAAAGTTTCACATTACAGACACACCTTTAAGCTTTTTTTTTTTTTTTTTTTATCACTCTCCACGCCCCAGACTAAGGGGTGGACTTACCTGATGTCCCTGTTTGTCAAAACACCTTTAAATGAAGAATCCAAAATGGAGAATATGTTGCATGGCAAGTTCTGAAATTTTAGGGTCATTTTTTCTCTTTACAGATTGTTTATTTCATATATTCTATTACATAAATGGAATAAATGGCACTGTGTTTTAACTTAGACATTTTGCATTATTAGATTTAGTGTTGTAATATAGTAGTCAAATGCAGTTTTATCTTTTATCAACGACATTCCGTTTGGCTCTCAGGTTGAAACAAGTTGATTATGCAGAATCCTACACCTGGCAAGCAGCTTTACCAGGAAGAGGGTGGTTACACTGGGGGAGCAAATAAGTCAACAGAGAAGTCATGGCATGTTTAGTGTAGACCTATGGTGCCTTGGGGACAACATGTCAACACCTGTGAGACTTTTACTAGGTACTAATACATACTGCAATGCTACATAAAACAACATTTGCAGAGTTGTGGGACCTGTCTTCATTTCTGTCTATTTCAACCTCTTAAGTCCCAAGGGCCTCTCCTGAAGTTTGAGCTTAAAATAACATACCCATATATAGTTGAGGTTTTTCCAGAAGTTACATCCATCCATCCATTTTCTAACACGCTTTTCCCGAGTGGGGTCACAAGGGGTGCTGGTGCCTATCTCCAGCAGCCATTGCAGCCAGCAGTTACATATTATATTAAAAATAATTTTGAAATCAAAATAAAGGTGGCCCTTGGGAGATTCCATCAGATGTGCACACATTAGTTTCAAAAAAGTGAATGAGAAAATAGAAAAACTGGAGGATTTTATTCACGCTCCACATTAAAAATTGCCTGTTTGAGTTGCAAAGGAGATTGAAATTCTTTTTTTATTCTGGCTGGTTCCACTGAAAAAAAAAAATTAAAATTTTGTGTTTAAAAAAAAGGCAGATTCCAATGAGACTGTTTTTCTTCTATACCACTCTAGCATTCGGAATCATTTTACAATGTTCGATGTAGAGACACAAGGCTTGTGAAAGTTCCGTTTTGGGTGAAAAGCCTTAATTTTCAGATCGCTGAAAATTTTACAGATCACCCCCCAAACACCTGACATCATTTGTAAGTTGGTTTTTATGCTAAATCTAGTCGATCTGTCATAGTCTTGATTTAGTCCAGAAATAGTTGTTGAAAATTGGGCTGTTTTAGTCAAGGCTGATACTCTCCCACCTTAGTCCAATCATAAACTACAATAGTCTATTATTGGACTAGTGTACACCTGGTTCTGTTACTGGCTGGATGTGCTCTCTTCATCCTCTGATGTGGGAGCTGGCTCAGAGCTTGTTTGCCTGGCTGTGTGTTTCTTGGATGGGCCTTTTACGGTTGCTTTTTCTATCTCTGCTTCAGTCTCCTTCAACCCAAGTCGGCCTCGGCAGATGGCCGCTCACACTGAGCTTGGTTCTGCTTGAAGTTTCTTACTGTTAAAAGGCAGTTTTTCCTCTCCACTGTCGCTATAAGCATGCTTAGTGTGAGGGATATCATCGATGTTGATGCAATCAACTGGTTTTCCTTATACAAAATTTTGAAACAATTGGACTGTATTATCTGGTGAACTGTAAAGTGCCTTGAGATGACGTGTTGTGAATTGGCACTATATAAATAAACTGAATTGAATTGAATAGTTTTCAACTGACTGAAAATTACGGTATTTAATTTTTCAACCAAATGTAGACGCTGTTTGTACGTAAATCATGCCGTCTTTTCAACCCATTTTTGCAAGATGGGCATCTCGAGACCATTCTAGCACTCGCATTGAAGGATTTATTTTATATCATGAATGGTCTGTCAGTAGTATTATCAATATGGATTTCTTTCCATCAGTTCAGAGTATTATGGCGTGCTGCATTTCACTGCCTGAGCATTAGTGGGGCTGTTCTTTGTTGCTTATCACTCCCTGTAGTGCTTTTAAGGGTTGTGGCTGTAATGACCAGAAAACAGGAGGCCCAGAATTCAAACAGATACAAAGAGAGACATTTAAACAGTTTATTGATATATAAAACTGCCGCAGGTCGGGAGGGAGTCACGAGAGTCAGCCACCGGAACTTCTGGAAGGATATTGGACAGATAACAAAGGGAATTTTTTATTTTTTTTATTTAGAATTCTGGTTTACTAACCTTCTCAGAGTTTGGCAACAAACTTTAAAAGTTTTTGAAGAATCTGGTTGGTGTGGATTCCTGAATCTGTCCAGATTGTTTTGGAGAAATCCTTTGTGGACATTTACTCATTGGTCCCATGGAATGCACAGGGTCATATCTGTGACAGCAGAGACAGGCAGAATGATCAAGGAGACAAACCAGAGTTCCGAATCCAAGAGTCAGTCCAGAGTCAGAGCCTGGTGATCTGAGATTGGACGGACAGGCAGGCCTGGAATAAACTCACCGATGCCTCATAATTATCTGACCCCAGTGAACGATCTGAGAGCTGCTTATATAGTCAGGTGAATCTGATGGAGATGGCTTGAAGACAGGGTGAAGCTGTCAGCTGTGTTGAATACTAACTCAACTTAGTGGCAAAAATCATGACAGAGACAGGATTTGCATAGGCTGTTCAAAACATTCAAAACTTCCCCCTTTCTATACATATATCTGCTTTCTAAATCAAACTGTCTGCTTATGCCTCTGTCTCTAATACGCATACTATGTCTCAACTGTATGTTCTGCTCACCTGTACTGTCCCTGTTTTTCTAAAAATGGAGCCAAGGCGGAAGCTCAACTTAAGAAACTCATTGCTCTCCTACATCCACCTGCAACACAGCCAATCAGCTTTGAACCATGCCTCCACGAAAACCAGTCGGCATCCAAAGTTCATCTTAAAAAGCCTCTGATCCGCACTTGACTGCTCCTGTGGACAGGTGACGGATGCGCTATGTGACTTCATTCAGATGACATTGTTTCAACTTACCTCCAGCCCCTCCTCCACCATCGTAGCTAAAGCTTCATCAGAGTGTCATTCCACTTCCCCCCGGACTCTTACTGAGCCTGGTTCTTCCAGAGGTTTCCCCCCAATGGGGAGTTTTTCCTCTCCACTGTCGCTTCATTCTTGCTCATCATGGACAGGGTCTCTCAACCTGTGTTATCCAACTGGACTTCCATCTTTCAGGTCCCTGAGTGAAGCTCTAGTATCAGCTTACGCAGTCCACTGGATCTCCCTATAAAGCTCTGCAGACCGTCTTGCTAACCAGCAGTCTACAGTTTGACCAACTTCATCTATCTCCACTCCACCACCAGTTTCAAGCCTGGGGGGAAACAGCCCTATTCTTCGCTCCTGTTCATGCATATCTATCAAAATTAAACGCTATGTTTCCTGCTGCGGTCTGAGTGCCAAAGACAATCTAATTGTATCAAGAAATTTCTCCTAATTGTCTTTTCTCTTCATGTCAGTTTTTCAGATTGAATGATTGAATTATCCTCTTCTCTTTTAGGCTACGTTTACACCGCAGCCTGAAGTGACCCAAATCTGATTTTTTTTGCCCACATGCGACCTGGATCTGATCTTGACATGGCAGTCTGGACAACACAGATCTGATCTTTTCCAATCCAACCCAGGCCACTTGGCTATGTGGTCCTGAATCCAATACAAATTTGATCTTTTCAAAAACGACCTGTCTCTGAATGGCCAGGTTGCATTCATCCGACCTGAGTGCCATTAGTAACCGACGTAGGTCACTATTCTGCATCTTGTTGCACAGAAGTGGCAAGAAAAACAAAAACCATGGGGTACGATGATGGGGAGAGCAGTATATTTTTTAACCATCTTGAAAAGATTGAGGTTTTAAGGTTTAGAAAGATCGCTAGATGCGCTCCAGCATTACATCCATGTTTACTTCCGTTCCATGTCATTTAGGCATAATTTTATACAACAATACTCACTAATTGTATAGACTGTTTTAGATTCTAACCTACAAAATTCTAACGAAAATTTTAAAGTATAATAGACTCAAGCCATTGTTGGTGTGTGGTTTCTTTTAAATGCACAATCATAGTAAAAAGTAATTACATTTTTAGCTATATGAAGACCAACTTTGTCAGTGTTAAATGATCAGGAACAAAACCAGTTATTCAAGTCTGGCAAAGAAAATACACACATATCAAAAGTGGAGCAAATTACTTCCAAATATTAAATGTTGGCATTTCTTTATCACTGTACTTTTGTACAAAAGAGGGCAGGGCCAGACTGGGAGATTTGTTCAGGCCAGGAGTCAGTCATGTAACAAGGCCACCCTTTGCTACATCACTGACTGACATGACTGATTTCTTAGGTAGTAAAATAAAATAGGGCTGGGATATATTTTGATCTCTGAGCTTTTGTCAACCAAAAAGTAGATTTTTATTATATGTTTGGGTTCACCATCAACTTTGACACACATCCAAACCAAGCAGAGGAACAGACTAGGGTGTAAAGAACAGCCTGTTATTGGCTGTTTTTCACACTGTGCTATCAGAGCTCATCAAAGCAGCTCACGTTTTTTGATGAAAACAAGTTAAAACTAATTAAGTCAGTCTGACTAATTTTTGTTCTGCATTTTGTTCCCCAATTCATCAAGTTGAAATGTGATTATAAGGGAGTTTCTCAGAGCAGCTCCAGTTTTATAAATACAGGTTTATAATATATTTTGTTTTGTATTTTTGGTCCGATTCCTTATATATGTCAATTGATACAATTGACATATATGTATCCTGATGGATCAATACATGAGATGCCAAACATCAGCTCCTGGTAGACAGAACAGTTGTTTAATGGCAAGACACTTGCACAAGTCTCCATCAAATGTGGCATATACCAAGGAGATGCACTGTCCCCACTGCTGTTCTGCATAGCTCTGAACCCCATCAGCCAAATAATCAACAAGACTGGCTACGGATACCGACTCAGGAACGGG